GTAAGGAAATATTATGAACAACTGTATGTCAACAAACTGGACAGCCTGGATGAAATGGATGAATTCCTAGAATCATACAATCTTCAAAACTGAATCAGAGACTCTGAAGAGACACATTACACCTAGTGAAATTGAAGCAGTAATTGAAAAACTCCCAACAAACAAACAAACGCCCTGGACTGGACGGTCTCACAGGTGAATTTTACCAAACATTCTGGGAAGAACTAAAACCTTTGCTTTTCAAACTATTTCAAAAAATTCAAGAGGAGGGAAGGCTCCCAAGCTCATTTATGAAGCCAACATCATCCTAATTCCAAAACCAGATAAAGACACTACAAGGAAAGAAAATTGTAGGTCAATATTATCACTGATGAACAGATGCTAAAATCCTCAACAAAATATTAGCAAGTGCATCAAATATGGCAATGCATCAAAAAATAAACACATCATGATCAAGTAGAATTTATTCCAGGAATGCAAGGATGGTACAATATTTGCAAATTAATAAATGTGACTCATCACATAAACAAAATAAAGGATGAAAACCACATGATTATCTCAATAGATGCAGAAAAAAAGCATTTGATAAAATCCATCACTCACTTATGATAAAAACCTTCAGTGAAGTGGGAAGAAAGGAAACATACCTAAACATAATTAAGGCCATGTATGACAAACCTACTGTCAGAATCATACTCAACAGGCAAAAACTACAAGCATTCCCCTTAAGATAGGGAACAAGACAGGGATGTCCATTTTTACCTCTTTTTCAACTTACTACTGGAAGTCCTAGCCACAGCAATCAGACAAGAAGAAATAAAAGTCATCCAAATTAGAAGTAAAACTGTCCTTATTTGCAGATAACATGATACTGTACATAGAAAACCTGAAGATTCTACCAAAAAACTATTAGGACTGATAAATGAATTCAGCAAAGTAGCAGGATACAAAATAAATATCCAGAAATCGGTTGCATTTTTATATGCCAATAACAAACTAACAGAAAGGGAAATGAAGAAAACAATCCTATTCACAATTGCTTCAAAAAGAATAAAATACCTAGAAATAAACTTAACCAAGGATGTAAAAGACCTGTACTCAGGAAATTATATGTCACTGAGAGAGGAAGTGAAAAAAATACAAACAAAGTGGAAGCACACACTGTATTCATGGACAGGAAGAATTAACATCATTAAAATGCCCATACTACCCAAAGCAATCTGTAGACTCAATGTAATAGATGATGCATTTCACAGAACAAGAACAAATATTTCAAAAACTTATATGGAACCACAACAGGCCGCACAGAGCAACAGCAATCCTGACAAAGAAGAACAAAGTTGGAGGAATCACAGTACCAAAGTTGCAGGTTCAATCTCCCGTCAGGACACATACAGGCAGCAACCAATGAACACATAAATAAGTGGAACAACAAATGGATGTTTCTCTCTCTCTTTCTTTCTCTCTCTCATCAACTTTCAAAAAAAAAAAAAGAATAGTTACTTATATAGGAAGACTGACCCAGGAGGTAACTATATTAAGGATAACAGGAGGTATGAGTCTCCCAGTCACAGAATGGAGTTACAAATTTGGAAAGGCAGAAAATTAGAATAAATCCAGCAGAAGGACTGCAATTGGAAGGATTGGTGTGAGCTAGTTGTCAAGACAGCTCATAGGTAGACATAAAATCGATACACTGCACGTATACACAGACACACAATATACACATATAGTCCTGAGTTCTGACTGCTGAAAGGGTCTGGGAGTGACAACACCCAACAGCAATGAACACACCTAGTTTCTACTTGTGTTCTCCATTCTCCATGAAAATCCCATTCTCTACTGAAAACAGCCAGGGCAACACAGCTGGATTTCAGGGTTGCAGGCAGGAATTCACACTAATATGGATTAATGAGCAAATAAAAAGAAATGTTTACACTTCATAGTAGCAGCCTAGGACGGGTTTACAAGGGTGAGAGTGATTTTCGGTGGAGAAGCCTGGCAGGCACAACCCTAACAAAGTGATCAAAGTGTGGTCCATCAGTAATGGGACAAACTGGAATTTTGTGCCACCTGATAAGATGGAATGAGAACAGAGTGTCCTTTTAAGGCATTGTAGCCAAAGGTGCATAAAATGTATCTTATCATGACAAAAACATCCATTAAAATTGAGAAACAACCTACAAAATCACTGTTCTATACTCTTCAAAAGTGTCAAGGTGAAAGTCAAGTGAAAGACTGAGGAACTGCTCCAGGCCGACAGAGACTAAAGAGATGTGACCACTAAATGCAACAAGTGATGCTGAGCTGCATCTTCTTGCCACAAAGAAACTGTCGGAATAACTGGCAACACATGAATAGTGTCTGAGGGTTAGATGGTCACACTGTATCAATGTTAATTTTCTGATTTTGATGCATGTGTTATGAATATTTTTGAGAATATCCTTGTTTCTATGAAAAATATACTCAGCATTGAGTCAGTAACTTACTCTCAAATGGTTTAGGAAAAAAAGTGCTTTGTGACATTTTCCAATCTTTTGTAAGTTTGTGATTATTCTAAAATTAAATAATTTATTTTAAAATGGATGTAAAGCCCATAAAAGCAAAGCCCTGATTCCCTCCCCGAGGGTCCCTACAACGGTGGCTACTTGATGACAGGCTGACGGTGGATGGGGTGGTGAGAGCGCCTCTGTAACAGAGGGCAAGACACCATCCAGACTGGTAAGTCTAGGGAGAGCAAAATAATCAGAAGTATTTAAAGATTTGGAGAGAAGTGCCAAAATAAATGACTAAGAAAACAGCCTGGAAAAGAGAAAATTGCTTTTTATTATAGCTTTTCTGTATTATTTGACTATTTAACCAGGTATTAAAAAGTACCAAACTCTGGCTCTGGCAGGTGTGGCTCAGTGGATTGAGTGCCAGCTTGCAAACCAAAGAGTTGCTGGTTCAATTCCCAGTCACGGCACAAGCCTGGGTTGTGGGCCAGGTCTCCAGGAGGGGGTGCACAAGAGGCAACCACACACTGATGTTTCCCTCCTTCTCTTTCTTCTTCCCTTCCTCTCTAGAAACAAATAAATAAAATCTTAAAAAAAAACTTGAAGTATTAAACTTTGACTAAAAAATAATATAATGCAACTTCACAGGGTAGTACCAAAAATTTAGCTTAAAAGGAAAAAGAAATCTTTTCTTGGATAAGTAACATTTAATAATTTTGTTTTTTACAGACAATCCAGTAAAATCCCACATTAGCTCCCTTTTGTTTACCATCAACTGTTCCCTTTCAAAGACATGCATAGTTGATTCCAACACTGATTGTAATACAGAAAAGCAGGACACAATGACTGTCCAGCAATCTGGGGCTACTTAAAATAATGATGACATACTCATACAATGGAAAGCTGTGCAAAGACTAAACATGATCTAAATGCCTGGTGTTTTTCCTGCTCCAGTAAAAATGAAAAGGAACACGAATAGAAAAGTTATATTTGCACCAGGGGCTCCTATCAGCAGGAACTCGCATCCAGGACTCTACAGGAGGCACATCAGAATCAGGGGGCGGGGCCGTGGATACCAGCATCAGCCACAGGCACTGGGCCACTCGACCTTGGTACATGGATGGCCCACATACCAATTCAATGGTATCACTCCTGTGATACCTCCCCATGTCACAGAGGAGGCAATGGGACTGATCTCCCGACAGTGTCATGTCAGAGCCCATACCCTTACACCCATGTTATACTGGACACGTCTGACCTAGAAAGAAGTCCAGCCACATATTAAGTGAAAAACACCATGCGGAGGTATGTATGTATAGTAGGATCCCATTCCTGCAAAACAAATATTGTGTGCACACCCTCACATCTGAAAACCTATGGGAAAAAGCACTCTAAAATTTTAATAAATGGGTATTAAAAATGACAAGTATTTGAAATTTTTATTATTTGTATTTTTCTATGATGAGCAACATTGCCAAACTAATTTAAAATAATTTTAAGTGTAGGAAATATTTTAGTTGGCTAAAGCTTTACTTTAGTTGAGGTTTACTTACTATGAATATATGTGAAACATATACCCATAGGTATCCATACAGCCAATGCAATATTAAAACCAAGTGGGAAGTACCACAGAGGGTGAGCCAAGCATCAAAGATGCCAGCAGATTCTACCCTTGTCCAACAATTCCAATTCATTTAGTATCTTGGAGATACAAAATTAAATACTGGGTGTTTCTGCCCTCATGAAGGTCTCTTACTTATTTGTATGTATCCTGCTACATAAAATAAAAACCAATCATAAATATGTTTGCATGCTCTGAGGATAAAGAACAATCACTGGTCTAGCTCTGGGCTGGAGTAAACCAGTCCTACCTGAACACGCACCTGTTACACTCCTTACATCACTGTCAAACCCGTACACATGGACCGCAAGGCAAATCATCCTCGTCAGCCAGGCATCATGCACTGGCTCCATTAAGTTAAGAAAAAAGAGATTTTACCAATCCCTTTGGAACAAGCCTTACAACCTTCAGATCATTAAGAATGTTCTTTATGCTGCCTGCGAACTGAAGCGAGCAGGGAGGACTCAGCTGGGATTGGGCTGTTGGCCCTGGGTCGCCTGCCACATGCGTGGGCCACGAATGCTAGAGAGACTGTGCCAGGAACCTTAAACCACGGGACTCCAACAGGAGTATGTTTCATAATGAAAGTATACGATAAAGCCCAAAATACAAACATGAATTCTCTGGTACACTTCTGCACTCGCTTTTTACTGTAAGGTTACAGGTGACATTGCTTCTCAGCGGGGAGCAACGCGAGGGACTAAAGCAAACAATGCAGAGAGACATGTGATGGCGTTCCCACTGGCCATGACTGACTCTTCTCACACTTGCAGAGTCCAAGTCCCTATCTCTGTATGGGGAAACATCTACACAACTTACATCAAAACACTAAGATGCCTATAAATAAGTTCAAAGGAAACATATATTGGAGGGAAGCTACTCACTTTCCATTCCTTGAGAGTCATTTCCTTGCAAAAACATTGGCCAAAGAGCAAGTGCTGGGTTGAGTTTATTGGTAAGGGGTGCTGACTTTATATTCAAGCCTGGCTTCTCTGAAGAATCAAGGTTTTTATTCTCCATGGGTGACACATAACAGGCGAAGTTCTTTGCAACCAGATCATCATTAACACAAACCTGTACAATTTTAAACATTTCATGAGTAATAAGGCAAATATGGTCAAATGACTGTCCAGAAAATATCTCAAAATCAACCATAAATTTCAATCTTCAGAAAAACGATTTATAGAAATAATTTGATAGAAATTGATCGCCTGGTTGCTGCACTGGTGATGGTGAGCTAGATACTTCTGACCAACCTTCCTGATAAGAAATACAGTAAGACTCTGCAGAAAATATAAGAAATATCTTTTGCCCTGGCTGGGTTGCTTAGAGCATTGTCCCATACACCACAGGGTTGCAGGTTCACTTCCTGGTCAGGGCATGTGTCTCGGTTGTGTGTTTGAGCTGCAGGCAGGGGACGGGAGGCAAATGATCAAAGTCTTTGTCACTTGATGCACCAATCTCTCTCTCCCCCACTCTCTCCTTGCCTCTCTCTCCAAAATCTGCAAGTGAAGAAAAACAAATATCTTCTCAAAAGCACTAGAGAGCTAACAAGATTTTGCCAGGCAAAGATCTGGGGAGAGGGCAAAGACAAAACACAAATCATAAAAGGAAAAACTGATAAATCAAACTTTATCAGAATTTAAAATTTCCGCTGTTCAAAAAATACTATTAACAGAACAAGCCAAGGACAGAAGAAAACATTTCTAAATATTATACCTGAATGGATGTGTACTCAGACTATATAAAGGACTCTCAGCCTGACCGGTGTGGCTCAGTTAGCTGGGTGTCATCCCACAAAGTGAAAGGCTGCCGGTTCCATCCCCAGTCGGGGCACAGACCTGGGCTGCACGTTCAGCCCTCGGTCTGGGCCTGCACAAGCAGCAACCAATCAGTGTTTCTGTCTCACAGCCATGTTTCTCTCTCTTTCTCCCTCCCTTCTCCACGCTTTAAAAATAAATGAAATCTTTAAAAAAATAGAACTCTCAAAACTCATTAAGAAAACAAACCACCCATTAAAATGGGTTGATAATAATCAAAACAGCATGTGGAAGCACTTTGTGAGGTACCTAATGGTCTCATCACTGCTGTATGCACAAAACCAATACAAAATGATACTGAATGACATCTGTAAAAAAATAAAATTTAAGCAATATGGTACTGGCATGAAAATAGACATATGGACCAATGAAACAGAACAGAGAGCCCGGAAATAAGCCCACATGTGTAAGTCAATTAATTTATGACAAAGGAGCCAGGAATACACACCACAGGAAGGACAGCACTTTCAGTGAGTGGTGGTGGGGGGCAGGGAAACTGGACAGCCACATGCAAAAGAATGAAGCTGCACCACTATCTGGTATCATACCAAAAAATTAACTCAAAATGGAGGAAGGACTGAATATAAGACCCGAAACTATTAAAACTCCTAGAAGAAAACCTAGGTGGCAAGCTTCTTGACATCAACCCTGGAGATGATTTTTTTTGACACTGAAAACAAAACAAAGCAAAAATAAACAAGTAGGACTACACTGAACTAAGAAGCTTCTACACCACAAAGAAAAGCATCAATAAAATAAAAAGACAACCTCCTGAACTGGAGAAAATATCCGCAAATCATATATCTGATAAGGGGTTAACATCCAAAACATATAAAAACCTCATATAACTCAACAGCAAAAAAACACAAAACAATCCAATTAAAAAATGGGCAGAAAATAAGTACTTAAAATAAAAGAACAACATGGATGTATCTTAAAATAATGTTGAGTGACACCCAGACACTAGGCAAAATGAGAGAACACCCTGGGGCGTGGCCCTGTGCCTCCTCTGACAGCTGGAGAGGGCTGCAGGCCCTATTTTTTATTTTCTGGCAATTAGAACCCCATGCATCCATTGTGAGTTCTCTCTGCTTTAGCCTGTCTTCTGTGCTTCACCACCCTGAAGTGAGAGCAAGCTGTCATCCACATACAGCCACACAGAGGGGAAGAGAAACCTGTTCTTGAAAAGCAAGCAGCAGGTTAGCTGAGAGCTTCTTTTTTAAAAAAATATTTTATTGATTATGCCATTACAGATGTCCCATTGTGCAGCCTTCATTTCCCTCCACCCTGCACACCCCCTTCCCTACCATTCCCCTCCTTTAGTTCATGTCCATGTGTCACAAGTTCTTTAGCTTCTACATTTCCCACATTACTCTTGCCCTCCCCATCTATTTCCCCCCATGCTACTTATTCTCTGTACCTTCTCCCCACTTCTCCTCCTCCCACTCCCCTGTTGAAAACCCTCCATGTGATCTCCATTTCTGTGGCTCCACTCCTGATCTAGCTGTCCACTTAGTTTGCTTTTGTTTTAGGTGTGGTTGTTAATAACCGTGAGGTTGCTGTCCTTTCACTGTTCATATTTTTTTATCTTCTTTTTCTTAGATAAGTCCCTTTAACATTTCATATAATAAGGGCTTGGTGGTGATGAACTCCTTGAACTTGACCTTATCTGAGAAGCACTTTATCTGCCCTTGCATTCTAAATGAAAGCTTTGCTGGATAGAGCAATCTTGGATGCAGGTCCTTGCCTTTCATGACTTGCAATACTTCTTTCCAGCCCCTTCTTGCCTGTAAGGTCTCTTTTGAGAAACCAGCTGACAGTCTGATGGGAACTCCTTTGTAGATGACTGTCCCCTCATCTCTTGCTGCTTCTAGGATTCTCTCCTTCATTTTAATCTTGGCTAATGTAATCATGATGTGCTTTGGTGTGTTCCTCCTTGGGTCCACCTTCTCTGGAACTCTCTGAGCTTCCTGGACTTCCTGGAAATCTATTTTCTTTGCCAGATTGGGGAAGTTCTCCATTAGTATTTGTTCAAGTAAGTTTTCCACGTGTTGCTCTTCCTCTTCCCCTTCTGGCACCCCTATAATTCAGATGTTGAAACATTTAAAGATGTCCTGGAGGTTCCTAAGCCTCTCCTCATTTTTTTCAATTCTTATTTCTTCATTCTTTTCTGTTTGTTGTTTCTTTCTTCTGGTCCACTCCATTAGTTTGAGTCCCAGCTTTCTTTCCATCACTATTGGTTCCCTGTGCATTTTCCTTCATTTCACTTAGCGTAGCCTTCATTTTTCATCTAATTTGTGACCAAAATCAACCAGTTCTGTGAGCATCCTGATCACCAGTGTTTTGAACTGTACATCTGATAGGTTGGCTGCTCTTTGTCGCTTTGTTGCTTAGAAGTATTGGTCTGGGGCTTTGATCTGTTCTTCTGTTTGAGCCATTTTCTTGCCGTGCCTGTTATGATGAGTGGCAGAGCCTCAGCTGTTCAACAGGGCAGGGCAACCCAGTGGCTGGGTTGTGATGCTGAATATGGGTGTGGGGTCTGAGAGGAAACAATGGTGCTTGTTCTGTTCTCCCTGGGATTTCAGTGCCCTTCTGCTGCTTCCCACAAGCAAAGTGGGCCTTTCTGGTGCTGGTTCCTGGGGGGTGGGCTTTTGTATGTTTTAGGACCCTGTGGGTCTCTCCAAAGAACTCACCTGTAAGGATGGGAGTCTCTCCTGGCACCTTTTCGATCAGTACTTTTAGGTTTTATTTCCTGTCGCTAGGGCCCTGGGTTGCACGGTCTGTCTCACTGCCCGTTTTTGCCTAGTTTATCTGCATGCAAATGTGTGACTGCGGTGGTTAGCCAACTGCCTTGCACGCTCTGCTCGTTTCTTCCCTGAGCCCAGGGTCTGCTAGCCCCGCACTGTTGCCTGGATTCCCAGGTCTGCCAGCCACTGCTTTTTTCTGCTGTGATCCCTCTCCTCTGGCCACTGACTCTGCCCCTCTTACTGGTCTGGTTGACTGGTTGTCGGACTTCCATACAGTTCGATTTTCTGTCTGTTCTGGTTGTGTTTTTGTTTCTAAATCTTTGTTGTCCTTAATTTTGGTTGTGCCAGGAGGCACAGTGTTTCCACCTACACCTCCATCTTGGCTGGAAGTCAAAGATAGCTTGTTTAAAAGATGTTTTTACAAGACTGATCCCATAGCCAACATTTTGGCATTTTTACCAGGTAGTAAATAAGTAATGAAAAGTCACTGTAAAATAAACAAAAATGTGGGGGAACCCAAAGTACAATATAAAAAGTAACAAACTTCACTAAAAATTAATAACATAACTGCACTGAAGGAGTTAGGGGGAAGGAAGAAACCTAAGTTACTCTGGAAAACAGCATTTTGGATACATTCCGTATGGCTTAAGATACTTATTTTTTCACAGGAATGAGGGTTAGCAACTCTGAAATTAACTGATGTGAATACTAGGAGACAGATGTCAGGAATAAGGAAAGGGGAGGTACCGATTGAAATTAGAGGTACCTGAGCTTTTACTACATGTACAGGTGGACAGATCTGGGAACACATGTGGACATATGTGCATGCTGGTTAGCATGTAGACAGGTATCTCCTGCCTGCAGGGCGGGCCCACAGTCAACGACACCCCAGCAGCAGGAGCCCACACACAGCCCTGACCCTGACATCTAAATACCATCTGTCCACAGCGGGAGGTTCCTTGAGCAGTGGTTGATTCTAGGCCTGAAACTGGAAAATGACCAAATGAGCCAGGTGTGTGCTGTGGAACAGAAAGTAGAAAGTTTTCAACAGTGCTCAGGAACATAAGCTACTTTGAAAAAGCTCCTAATGGACAATTCTGTGACAATCTGAGCAAGAAAATAATGACAGTAATGGATTATATCACCCAGAGTAAAATAAATATTCAGGAGTCAATACTAAGATAAATGAATTATTGAGTTAATTAGTAAATGGGGGAGAAGGAATAGTTCTTCCTTATAGAATTCCAATTTAAAATGTAAAAGGCATAATGGAAATGGGCAAACACCACAAAAATAAGCTTTACACACAAGGGTAATTGATGGATATTTGCACAGTCTCCAAGTACCACCCCCCTACAAAATGCTTAATCATCTCAAGAGGAAAAAAGAGTAACTCTTTAGAGGAAAAAACCTAGCAGATACCACCTTACCCAGACAATCGAGGCCAATGTGACCAGCAATGAGACATACTAACACTGTGAACCTTCTCCTAGGGAGCACTGGGAAGGGTTCGATGTCGTTGCCGTAGCATTCTTGCTACAATTGCAGAACCTCAATCTAATGGAGAACAAACTGAGTGACAGTCTACAAAATAACTGGCTAGCACTCTTCACAAATGTCAAGACAGGGGAAGACTGAGGGACTGTCTCGACAGACTGAGGAGACTAAGGAGACGAGACAGGCAGAGGCAATGAGGGATCCTTGATCAGACCCTAGCACAGAGAAAGGAAATTAGTGGGGACACTGGCAAAATGCAAATAAGGTCTGCAGATTTTCTGAAAAGAGTGTTTTATCAGTGTTAATTTTCTGGTTTTAATCACCGCACCATGGGTTTGTATGGTTAACATTACGGGAACCCAGGTAAAGCATATACAAAATTCAGCACTATTTTCACATCTTGTCTGTCATTGTAAAATTATTTCAAAATAAAAATTTTAAATAAATGGACGGTTTAGATGACCTGTGGGCCCCAAGCAGCCCATATCGGCACCTCCACCTACCTCCAGGCAAGGTGCAGAGCTGTACCTGTACCGCCCTTCATGAAGGCAAGCAAATGGTAACAGCTTATGACTGGGGTGGGGTGGGGGGCTCACGTGTGCTGCCCACTTCCTTTCTACTTACATATCTGAATGCTTTACGATGAGCACATATTACACACAATGAGAAAATTATGAAGGGGGAAAAACAGTGAACCATACCACAAGTATTTACAAAAATTATGGCCTCTTATGAGAAAATAACACTTCATACTCATCACTATAGGAATAACTTCTTACCCATTACTAATTAAAATTCTGTCTAAATATAGCACTAAAGTAATTAAAAGAAAACAATCTAACTTCTGAACAAAGCTTTCCTTGAAAGATTATGAAAATTTCTATGTGAAGACATTGTTTCCATTGATTATTCTTTATTATAATAAAATTGTAAGTAATGATAGAATATTTTAAAAATAGGATTATTTCACTTACTTTTTCATTTCTTATAGTTACATAAAGGTAAACCTCAAAAGTATCTTCTTCCACAGCACATAATTTGGCTTCCACCTGGGTAGTTGCTAAGTGGCACAAAAGAAAACATGAATTAGATGATATTAAAAGTATATTTGAAACAATTTGGCCATGTCCCACCTATTAACCTCTGCTAACCACTTAACAATTATCCAGCACCACAATGTCCAACATCTTCCTCCCACAGGTGGGCCTTAATGCAGGTGTCTGGGGCTGGGCAAGTCGAGGTGAGAGCTCTGCTGCATGGAGTCAGCCTCACATCCTCTGTCCCATGCACAGCCTCCTCTTCCTGCCACCCTGTGTCACCTCCTTGAGCACAGTGACTCCCAAATCATTTCTCATCAGTCTTTCATCTGAGTCCACTCTATCTGCCAAATGCCCACGGAGCGGAGCTCTTAGCTCCTCTCTCAGAGACTCACAGTAATCCGAACAGCAGCTATGGGTACCTACTGGACACCATGCTAAGTCGCTTACAAACGTACTGTGTTTTGCCGTGTAAATGCACAATTTTTGCCCAAAATTTTTAGGGAAAACAAGGATGTGCATTATACATGGTATAACGGTCACATAATAATGGACATAATAATCCCTTGTCTAAATCACACAAAAACATGGGTGAGCATCATACATGGCAGAACACGGTATTTCACTTCATTCTTACCATAAGCTTTGAGGGTCCCTGTACACATGAAGAGACCGGGCTCAGAGAAGGTCCCCCAGGAGCAGCAGGGCAGTATACAAACCTAAGCACGCTGCCTCTTCCAAACCTCTGTCTCCCAGCATTCCCCAACGTGCTCGCCCAGGGACCAACACTCCAAAACCAGCGACCTCGCCCCTACCATCCCACTTCTCCCAGGTACGAGGCGTCCAGCCGCTCCTTCACCCAGGCAGGGGGGCAGCAGAGGAGAGGGGCCAGGACACCAGCAGGTACAGGCAGCAACACAGGCATTTCATACCCACTGCTCCCCAGGACAGCCCTAGGAAGCGGGCACAGTCACTTGGCTCTTGACTGCCAGGGGTTAGAACAGGTGCCACGAATGCGAGTCCACGTTACAGTCAACAATATAAAGACAGCACAGGACAGAGGGGGCCTGTGGCATTCTATACATGTTCAAGTAGGAATTATGATTACACAGTAACAGGTTTTTCACCAACTGTCAGTTCAGCAAAATGTACGTACAGTTATTTTGCAGTGCCCCAGCTTCTACGCTAAGAGGCAGGCACTGTTATTGGGTATGGGTCCCTCAGCCAAAACAGTCCCTTTCTAATTTCACCTGCCAATTACTGATGTCCACATCCAGCCCCCAAATTCCAGGGCTGGAGAGTCTCTGTGACATTGGGGTGGAAGAAGCCTTAGGAAACTTATGAACCTACGAGGAGGCTCAAACAGCTAAGCACGCACACCTCAAACCCCTCCCCAACCGAAGGTTACACCACCTTGAGCGTCAGTCCAAAGCAGCAGAGACAGTGCACTCGCCTCACCTTTTAGAATGCTCTGAAAGTACTGAATGGCTGCACTATCCCACTTCTTGGCGCGTCTGCAACAGTGAACAGGTGCAACTTCATTAAATAAAAATGAGGTTAGTACAGTAACATCACTTTGTAAACCACATGCTGGGTCTTTCTGACGCTCCTGTGGAGCCTGTGATGTGGGTGCCAGGCAGCGTGGCTCTGGCTGCACCAGCAATAGGCTCCTCCCATCACTGCCACCTGCACCTGTGCAGATTCACCACACCAACCACCTTGGCACTGTCTGTCCCAACACCGCTGTCCCCAGTTACCTGGGACATATCTGCCTCCCCAACCAGAACACAAGCTCCCTGGGACAGGGATCCCGAGTGTGCTGGGTCCGGTGCAGACTGGCAGAGAGAAAAGCTCCGAACGTGCCCAGCACGGCTGTGGGAGCGCCCCCCGTGCCTCGCGCTCCCCTCCCAGCACCAAGGCCCTCGCCCTGTCACTGTTCTCTATCATCTTGCCCCCTCCCCCTGTTTTAGAAAGAAAAATCGCAGGAAATGCTGTAGGCAGTGGAAGGTCAGGAGGAGCTGGTATTTGGAAGCAAGGAACAAAAATGAAAGGAGGTTAGAGTGAAATGTTTTGTTTCTCCACTAGTTTTACTTCTCAGTGATGCCACCACCGTCCTCCAGAGAAGTTCCAGGTAATGCACACAAGCACATGGCCCAGTGCCTGGACTAAAATATTAGTTATTTTTATTTCTACTAAGAAAGATACTAAGCATATTACTTCAAGAGATTTACAAGGGGTTTCTAAAAATAAGACGACGGTTCTAAAACCTTGCTACACACAAAATTACCTAATAAGCTTTTTTAAAAATAAAAAAGACTAGTAGAATCCTAATTTTAAAAAGGCCCAAGAGAAAAATCAATTAGGCAATGAACAGGTAAATCAGTCTCGCACACGTAAATCAATCAGCATGTTCATGTGTCTGAATGTCTGTCTGTCTGACACACACTACACACGGAATAACCACATGATGGGTACTCAAGTTCACAAGTCAGGAAAATACAAATTTTTGAGTCACATTCTAGATGACTCACATTCAAATTTTTGAGTCACATTCTAGGGCACACGTCAAAGAAGGTGATCAAAACCCCGAAAGATCACTTACTTAAAGCCCTTTGCCTACACTGAGGCTAACCCAGGGCTGGGTGTGTCCAAGGCTGAGAAGGTCCCAGAGAAGCCCTGTGTGCTGGGAAAGGGGCAAGGCAGAGGGGGAGGCAGGCTGCCTCTGAGGAAGAGCTGGGCACGGACAGGTGGGCGCCTGAGTTACCCCAGGAGGGTAAGCAGTGACTGATCAGAAAGAGGGTCAAGGGAGGAGGCAGGGGTTGCTAAGCAACCTGGCAGGGTGCAATGGCCTCAGCAGAGACAAGCTGGTTTGGTATCTTCCTAGTGCAGATTCCAAGGCCAGCCACAAGAGTGATGCATTCACCATCTCAAGGCAATTGTAGGCAATGGGAGTTGAAGGAGTGGGAACAGGAAGGCCTCCACAGATTCCATGAGACAGCCACAACAGGGGCAACTTCGAAGTTCAGAGAACACAGTGCAGCATCACCAGCGTGTGTGAGCCGTGCAACCTGAGTCAGAACTGTGCTCTGTCTGTAGCCTTTCTTCCCACAATGCCACAGTCCAGGAGGGAGAGGGGAGAAGTCCCAGGTGGAAGGATGGGGCTGCCCATAGGACCTCAGGTAGCGTTCATTCGAGACAGCAAAGATCACAGTCACACCCTCAACACAGTACCACCCAACGCAGAGACTTGTTCTGTATAAACACTGGCAATGCTGCCAGGTACCAGGGGGAAATAAGAAAGCTGGGGTGTATGTGATGTGTGTGTATGTGTGTACACGTACATATACCTCTTTACATCTATGTAGTTTATATGAACGCATCTATATTCTGATGGAAATGTATAGTGCAAAATGGTGTGGAAGCAATCTGGCTGGCTATTAAAGGAGGAATGGTCAAACACAGCAAGTATGGCATTATACTCACCCATGGGAAGACCGAAAAGTAGAACGGAGCACTAAGAGCTTCGACATCCATTAAGTTAAATTTGCAAATAAAAACAGTAAGTTCTAATTCTCATTAGAAGTTCCACGTATATGAATGTGTAGAAAAGCACTGAAAAAGGCCTGCAATTCCGGAGCCTAAACAGGTCACAGGGGCCTCCCGGGTGGGAGGGAGTGAGGCTGGAGAAGAATTCAATAGACTTCGTTTTAATGAGCCAGATCCTACCTATTGTTACTCTCTACAGCTAACTTACTACTTTTTGTAAGTTAAAAATAAAGAAGCCAAAACACACCGAGTTCAGGCTTTACTCTACACCCTCTACCGCAGCCTCAGTGGGTGGGGCTGCGCAGGGAACCCCACTCCTGACAGGGCTGAGACGCGCGTGGACCCAGAACAAACTTCCTGAGGAAAAAAGAGACCATGAAACCACTCAGCACCCTCAAGAGGAATCAGTTCCCATACACATCATATACTCGGTTAAGACTTTCACTGACGGTTAGCATGTTAGGAGCTGTACTTACACAATCTTAGCACTGTCTTCGCAGAAGTCAACATGTAAGGTAACAGGCTTTGTGCAGTACAGTCTGAATTTTTTCGCTCTATAGGGAAGCTGCATAAAAGTTTCTACTGCAACTCGGACACTTTATAAAGAAAAAATATACATAACATTTCTTTAAAGGACACCAATATAATTAATACACAACATAAAAATAAAACACACAAAAACAAATTATTTGTTCCTAATACAGCCACCAACAAGAAATACTTGGAGACATTTGCCCAAGGTAATGAAAATTAGTTCCCGTGAGGGGTAGAACTATTACTCTTCTATATATAAAGTACAGATATACATATAGTAAATACAAAGATGGTCAGTATATCTTTGCTGTCACAATTTCATGGCATGGGAGGGGGAGATTAGAAAAATAATGTCTAGTGAGGCTCCTTAGGTTGAGGAATAAGAGATAATAATGATCAAACCTGGGAAACAAATTCTATTTAAGAATTTTAAGCATCAATTTCAATATATGACCAGAATTATCTTAAAGTTTCTGTAAATGAGCAGATGTTTTAATAATTAGTGCCTGCCAACTTTGCACAAGAAAGCTGAAGGGCTAATATCTGATAAGTTGGTCAACATTTTTATTTTCCTTCTTTCAGGCAAATGACAGACTTTAACACCATTTCGGCATAAATTGGTTATGAAGATGCCCACATGGCTGTCTAGGCACTGTGTGTGTGTGTGTCTGTCTGTCTGTCGGTCTGTCTCTCTCTATACATAATATATGTATCTCCTCTATACACAGATTCTCTCTCTCTTTTTCATCTGAGGATGTTTTTCCCACTGCTTTTAGAGAGAGAGGAAGGGAGAGAGAAGGACCACTGGTTGCCTCGAGTACACTCCTAGACCATGTGCTTCGCAGGGATCGAGGATCAAACCCACAACCTACACGTGTACCCTGACTAGGAATCGAACCCACAACCTTTCAGTTAAGGACGATGCTCCAACCCACTGAGCCACACCAGACAGGGCCTTTTGTCCCAGTTCAGAAAACGGTGGCTACACTAACTGCCTCTCGAGGCCTCCTCGTGCTCTGTTTAATCATACAATTCTCTTGTCTGAAACAAACTAAACTTAAAATACCAAATATTAAGAGAAAATATCCCCAAACAGTTAAACACAATAGGTTTTTTTTAAACGATTATGGTTAGAAAGGTAGAGAACCACAAGCTAGAAATGCATCTTTTTTCTTAAGTATCTGCAAATTCTCAATGTCTGATAAGCCACTCTACCATGAAATTCTTAAGATAATTCAGTAAGGTAAATCTCTTACTGCAGTTGAAGTCTATCTGCTGTTGCTCTTTTGGAAGAAGGGCCCTCATGTTTATTTATTAAACTGATATCCTCTTACCCTGGGATAGGAAACCATGAAGAAATGACCACAAACACTTGTTTACAGCATTTTCTAACAAACTGGGACATGTGGTACTGGAATCAGTGAGGGTTCGTTCTGCACCGTCTCCCACCCTACGTGACAGTCACACGCTTACTTTGTTAGGCAAGACAGCCAGGAATATGTACTTGAATATATGCTCTGCTCTCTGCAGCCTAAGGCTGCACCCCTTCAAAATGCCCCTTCTGTGGAGACAGGAGATTCTCTCTGCCTCCTGGTAGCATCTTTCTTGCAACCAAGCTTCCCCAAAGTACATGCTCAGACACATGAACAAAACCAAGAGGCCACATGAGGTGAGCACCTGCCCTTTCTGGGAAGTTGTTCCTACATTCACTGTGTGTAGAACTGGCTAAAAAAACCCCCTCCAGCTTAAAACCTCTAGCCCCTTACTTTGAAAAATGACACTCGCCTTTAAAACTGACATTTGTCTTCTTAAAGAGGAGACGAAACAAAATTCATACGTACTTTTTCAACTTCACTGGAATGTACTTGGCAAAATCCACAAGGAAACACTCTGCCAGGTAATGGTCTGCCGAGGACACGATAGACTTAATCACAGCCCGGCACCAGCACCTGAGCTCCTGACAGTAAACCACACACACCTGCACAGTGAAAGGACGACACTGGCGTTACAGCCTTTAGCCACAGCATGGGAGAACCAAAAGGTCCGCTCAAAAATCATCTAAGCCCACACTCCACCTTCCAGAAGAGGAAATAGATTCAAGGGGGCTGACCCCGCCTTGTCACTCTTGCGGGGCAGGGGCATAACCCGAAATCAAATCAAAGCTTTATAGTTCTCTATCAGACCACAGAGAGGGCAAGTTCACTGTCACCACTACCAGGAAGCCATCAGGCTACCCCAAATGTGGAATATTGTAAAAGGACAATGGCCTGCTTTCATTTCTTAAACAAGTATGGGTACATATGATTCATGATGATTTTTGAGAGGGAAAGGAATTTATTTCCAATTTTTTCTCACAAAGAGTTTAAAAATCTTTTGCCATTGTACTATTAGAAAAATTCAAACTCTTCTGAGAAATAATGATGTGTAGACAGTAGGACAACAGGACTAGGAGTTGTGGCTGCAAGAAAGGAAGGAAGGGCAAAGATTCGGGGCAAGGGGAATAAGGAAGCTAGAGGTGGCCAAAGTCATGAGCAAACCAAAAGGGAGGCAGCAGCCCTAGACTGAAAAGCCCCATGTCCTCTCTGCTGAGGCGCCATCTGTGATGAATCCAGAACAATCCCTCTGGTTCCTAGCACAGGAGGATGGTCTGAATGCCTGAATTTAGATGACACTCCATCTCCTGTTGGCCCATACGACCCTCACACAACGACTGCCACATTCACAATTAGACTAAATCTTATGCAACCAAAAGACCTTAATAGCAGACAATGCTTATAAGCAATCAGAATACCCCAAAAGCTTTTATCATCTTAGTTGCCAAAATATTCTACATTTTGAGTAGTATTTCAAGAAATGGTGCTTAAAGCACATTTAGATACATACCTGCCCTTCCTCCAACATTAATGGTTTTATTTCGATGTCTTGACTCATGGTATTATAGAAGTCATTCATGGCTCTATTAAGGTTTTGATAGTCAACTTCATGATCTAAAAAGGGACTACACCCTTTTATAATCACCCAAAAGCAACCTGGATCCTCAATCTGTAAAGTGTTTAAAAGACAAAACAATGCATGATTTAAAAAAGGGGAGGGATTTAGAGGAACAAGTATAAAGGACACAGGGACAATAACTAAGGGGGGGTGGAAATGGGAGGGAGGTGAGGAGCACTGGGGGGGTGGGCTGGGATGGGAGAAATAGACAGAAAACTGTACTTGAAAAATAACTAAATAAAAAAATATATTAAAAATATAAAAAAATAAAAGTAGAACCCTAAAATAATAAATGCTAGAGTCACAATGACTATTTCTAATTTAAGTTGATATAACAAATTCTTGATAAGCACCCCTGTTGTAAATGGTCAGACCAAAGATAAAGGACCCTCAGCATTTATGTGTATCAAGTCATCAGGCTGTACACCTTAAACTTACGTGATGTTACATGTTAGATTCAATACAGCTGTAAAAAAGATAAAAAGACACAAAGACAAAATCCTAAACAAGTCACCAAGAATATGTAATTCTTAATTACATGTTGTGACTCAAAAAGAAGAGTTCGGTGTCCCTGAGCTCTTGTCTTTTGAAAATACCCATAATACGTGAAAGCAAGGTTCAGAATGCTACTGTTAATTTCCGATGTCTTTCATTAGAAAGTGAAGATACATTCTGTTCATGTTAAAAGAAATAAATGATGGCAGACCAAATCAAATACAAATTATTACCTAAAAGGGAGGCCAGAAATGGAGTAGAAAGCACAGGAATGAAAGTCAGACTCCTCTGAATGTATCTTCTCTCACAAACTAAGATTTTCATTGTTAAAGGCACAAATACAAAGTGAAAAGTTAAATTTGAATTGAAAATATCAATAGGAACTCATGTTGAAAGGGCCTAAAAGCAATGACATCCCAAGATTTTGGACCCTAGGTGGCACGTGGCAGGAATACAGATGTTTCCATTAATATTCTATTTTTCTGAATGTTAGATCATTCCAATAAACAGCTGGAGAAAAAAAACAGCTGCCCATCTGGTTCCAGTAATGGCAAAGTAATTTATATAGACTATTCCTGCAGCTGACAATGATAAACCCTGGAAAAAATACAAAACAACCACTTTAAGACACTGTGTAGCAGGAAACCTGCCTAAACAAGCCTGGACAAGTCAGAAGGACACCGTCCCTTTGCTGAGCCACTAAGATAAGGAAGGGTGAGCAACTAAGTAACTAAGAAGTAAGAACCAAAGAACATTGTATGACCCTATCAGCAGCCCTGCTTTCTTGCTTCTGTAAACCTGCTTCTTCCACACAGGCTTTAGTAAAATCGTTTCCACATGCCACACTATGTAAACAAGCCCCTGCCCGAGCTCAGGGCCCAGAATTTGGAGACTGTCTCTTTTGGGTCCGCGTGTGTAAATAAAGTTCCACTCCGTATACCCGAAAGCAGCTGAGCTGTTTTCTGTAACAACTGAAGAGATACCAAAAGCAGGTACAAACTGGAGGGAACTTAATCCCTCAGAAGAGGACCTGTCAGAGTGAGATCCATGCCTCTACCCAGCTTTCCTGAGAAGCCTCCTTAGTCCTGCTGGTGCAGAGCAGCTACAAACTCAAGCAGAAAGTTGCAATGTCTGTGGCTCGAGGAGCCAGAGAACAGGGCATGGGCCTGCCAGAGCAGCTGTTAATTAAGGGGAGAGATTCTGAAAGAGAGCCACAGAGGGAGAAACCTGAAGTCTGCACCAGAAAACCTGTTAACTCCTTGGCAGTCCCTGAACGGCACAGGTGAGATTCCAAGGAGTTCAGGGAAAAGCAACAATTGGAAAGCCTAAAGAAATACAGTTTTATAGCTGCTGCCCACGAGAACTCTCCACAAACAGGCTTGTCCCAATCTCTGCACTAAGAGGCCACCCAAACCCTAGCATGGCTTCCAGCAGCATAAGGCTCTATCCCTGGGACAACCCCCGTCCCTCCAAAATGCCTACCTGGGGAAGCGCAAGGCTCCCAGGAGAATTCACTGTGTTCTAACCAACACCTGACAGAGGCCCCTGCCCTCCCAATACTGACTTCCAGCTGTGAATCCTTCCTGTTCTTTTGAGATGTATCTAACCCCAGAACCTGCTCAAACTGGCCTTATCCTGTTTCTAACTAGACACGGAGTTGTTTTCCAGGGATAATGGAGAAAAGCTGTTGTCCTGGAGCCATAGCAAGCACAAAGGAGAGTTTTAACCTTCAGTAACACTCAGAACGAAGTCAACCCCCAAGGACCCAAAGAGCTAGGACTTGACTGAAACTGGATCACTGGAATCCTTTCAGAAGTGAAGGGTTCCCTGTTCAAAAAGATCTCTGGCTGAAGCCCTCCAAATAAAACCTGCCTCACCAGTGCTTCTGCACACCAGCGCATCCTTCCCTATGCCCTTAAATTCCACCCCAAACCCTCCAGGAGAGACAGATTTCAGCCTTGCCTCCAGTCCCCTAGTCAGTGGACCTTGTTACAATAAAGCCTTTTCTCAAAAGCCAAAGTCATGGTATTAGCTTTTATTCGCATGGGCAGCGAGCCCTTCTTGTCTATGTACCTCCTAGTACTCAGGGGAGAGTCTTTCTCAGGGCCTTATAACCATTCCTTTGAAATGTAATCATCAGGAAGAATAAGGCTTCCACCAAACCTACCTAGAACAGGTAAGATTTGTAAAACTGACAATATCAGCACTGAGGAGGAGGTGCAGCAACTAGGACTCTTACACATTTCTGATAGGAATGCAAAATGGTAGTTACTCTGGGAAACAGTTTCTCATAAAGTTAAACAAACAGATAATCACAACCTATTTGCTCATGAAATAAAAACTTGTGTTCACACAAAAACCTGTACGAAATGTTTACAGCAGCGCTCTTTATAATCTCTAAAAATGAGAAACAACTCTAGTGACCTGCCACTGATGACTGTATAAATAAACTGTTTCTTACCCATACAATGGAATACGACTCAGCAATATGAAGCAGGAATGGACACATGCCACAACATAAATGAGTCTGAAATGCATTATACTTAATCGAAAAGGGTCAGATTCCCCAGTCGCTCCTCCCTCTAGCCCCTGGCAACCACCCTTTTAATTTCTGTCTCCATGAATTTGGTTACTCTAGGAAATTCATATAAGTGGACTTGGAGGGTGCAGCCAGGGGGCCCCCAAAAGAAGGATTTGTAATGGGTTCCAGAACTCAGGGTGTCCAGGAAATATTAAAAATATGGGATGTCCTCACCCCTGCAAGTCTGAGCTGGGGGGATGGGACACATGGAGCAGGGCCATTGAATTGTTTTGCATAGCAAGAGTTTCGGAGCTAACCTCTAGAATGGTCATTTAACATATCTATAACCTTTAGCTAGTTTCATAGATATGTTAAATAGCTGTGGCCATGCTTTGAGCAAGGGAGAAGGGAGTGACTTCTTTCCAAGATGTAACTGGGAAGCAACTCCCAGCCCCCTTTACAGTGCCTGCATGAGAGCTTGGAGATGACTGGCTCCATGCCAAGGGGCCATGCCTGCCCAGACTCAATATGGCAGCCCAGTAAAGCTCGGAGGATACGCGATTGTTGGAGGAGTTGGAAATGGGACTGCAGAGGAAGACTGGCACGGGGATTTAAATGCAGACACAGCAGCCATTGAAGGGAGAACCACGCGTTTTTGGCCAGAGTGGGGGGATTTCCCCCCCCCCACAGCCATGAGAATCATGCAGCTTTATCAGAGAACCACCATGCAGCTTTCTATTTCTTTTCCCGAGATACAGTACCTTGGACTGGGCAAAGGGGGGAAAGAAGGACTGTGTATGTTTGTGGGTGTTTTAAGGGACTTTGGGATTTTGATGAAGACATTAAGTCATTACTCTTAAGTTTGTATAACTTGAATAAATAATCCCCTTCCTTTTCACCAATCTTTAACATTGGAGAGCTACAATTCTCTGGCGAAGGGAAAGATGAACCTAGTAAAGGGGGACCCCAGGAGAATAAGGGGTCAACTAGGTAATATTGTGGCCTGCTGGCCAATCCGGGAAAACCATGGGAGACCACATGTGCAGTAGCTTTCCAACTACTTGTCACAGTAAAAGCCTGTCAAAACTCGCCAGGAAGGATCCGCTCTATAAGATAGAGTCCCTCCAGCCCATGCGATCAATCTCTGATTGGAGCTGGCCTGCTCCTATGTTCTTTGCTATAAACTGTGGGTGTTCGGTTCAAATCTTTGTCCCAATCACCAAGAACCTGGTTACCTGTGCCCACCTGTGACAGACTCATACAGTATTTTTTTGGTATGTGGCTTATTTCACTTAGCATGTTATTCTCAAGGTTCATCCATGTTGTAGCCTGTGTGAAAATGCCCTTCCTTTTTCAAGTTGGAATAATATTCCATTGTATGTATATTCCAAGTTTTGCTTATCTGTTGATGGGCATTTGGGAAAAATATTTCACCCATATAAAAACTACATTAATCTGGAGAACCATAATTGCTACATGCACCACACTTGGGGAAATAAATATTCCTATACCAGATAAAAGTTTGCTCAGTGTGAGCATGGTAAGAGCGGTCAGAGGGGACAGACCACAGCTGAGGGGGTAGATAAAAGGGTCCCCAGATCCCACTAAAAGAGAGGGGTTCCCAAGCTCCAGGCAGTGAGAGTGCAGCTCCTCCTGCCAGAGTTCTGCCCTGACGGACTGGCATGTGAGGACCTGTACCCTCAGAAGAGCCCTCCCCTTCTAAGGAGAAATCGTACGAGCCCATTTTAGGACTGATGGTGAAGAGGAGTTTGCTAGATGACTGTGAAACCCCTAAAAGTCTCAGAGCAAATCCTCTGTAAGAGTAAGTTTGTTAATCTCAATTCATACAAACACAGGACATAAAATAGAAATGGAACGTTTCGTTTTTTAAAAAATCCCATCATTTGCTAGGGCCCTCTTCTCTTCCCACTTAAATATGACCTTTAAGACTTATTTATATTTCCTTTTCCCAATGACACACAAAAAAATTCACTCCTTTGCTCGATTTGTAAACTCCTTCCTCCAAGTAACAGGGTGAACAGAACACGCCATCCCAAGTCTCTGGCATTGCCAAGGAGCACTCACCTGACTCAAAGATGAGAAACTGCAGCAGTCAGTCCCCGCTCAGCAGGTCTCACACGAGTGAGCCCCCACCATGACCCCCCCCACCCTCCTACCCCAGCCCAAAGCCCTGCTCCAAGGGCCAGAGAAGGGTAGGGAGTGGCAGCCGGAGTACCAGGGCGCGAGCCATCTGGAATCCCCATGAATAAAGACGAAACATGCATGTGTGCTGGGTTCAAGGAAGGAAGATACAGGTCATCCCCGCCCCTGTCCAACAGGGATGGTGACCCACTGGAGAGGACCCACATGGGGGAGGAGAATGGGTCAAGGTCCCCATACCCACGACCTCAACCAGTGCAGACCCAGGTGGTGTGCGGATGGGGGGGTACTGTCTGTCCCTTCCCCTAAGGTTCTAGAGTTAATAAATACAGGCCACGCAGTTAAATCTTAATTTTGGAAAAACAACTAATAACTTTTACGCTATATCCCAGATGCTGCACGGGACACCACTAAGCTAAAATGTGTTGCTTTGTTGAAATTAAAAGTTGAGCACTGATGTAGCTCAGTGGATTGAGTGCTGGCTTGGGAGCCAAAAGGTCGCCGGTTGGACTCCCAGTCAGGGCACATGCCTGGGTTCCAACCAGGTCCCCAATAGGGGGTGCGAGAGAGGCAACCACGCACTGATGGTTCTCTCCCCTTTTCCCTCCCTTCCCCTCTCTAAAAATAGATAAAATCTTTTTTTTTTTTTAAAGAAAGGTATTGGAGCTTTAGTCCGGCGCCCCTACCCACAGTCAAAGACAGGCGTTCAAAGACAGGCGGACCTGCATGCGGATGGCTGGGTTGAGTCAACCGCCCGGCCGGGGCTTCGCGCTCGCTCACCTTTAGCACCACCACCTGGAGCATCTTTCCAGCGCCTCACTGGCCGCCCCCACGCAGGTCCTGGGACGTTACGCCCCGTCGCCGCTCCCCTTTCCTAGACCTCCAGTCGCTACTCACTGGGACGGCAAGTAGAGCCTCAGGCAGTGTCTGCCTCGCCCTCCGCAGGTGCCGAGCCTCCTCCCAAGTTCGTGCGCCGCTCCGCGCGCCCAGCTCCAGCACCGCAGGTACACGGCCTCGCAGCCCAGGCCCGCCACGCACCGCCGGCTGACGCTCTCCGTCCCCTAACTCAGACGCCTCCGCCGGGCGCGCTCGGGGCTTCGACCGACCTGCACCTGCTCAAACCTCCCGGCTTCCAGAAACCACGTGACGCGCCAACGGCAAGCACAACGGCCGGCGCACAGCGCCCCCTGCGGCGGGGCGGGGCGGTGGGACGCAGCGGGAGGAGCTGGGACTCACGAGCGCTGAGCCCGTGGGGGTCAGGCGTCAGTGGTTTAAGGAGTCTTGGGGTTCGAGTGGGTCACAGTCCTCCGAGGGCTCAGGGGCTCCCACGTCCACCTTCTTACCGGTATGGAGGGGCAGAGTGGCCGCCTGTGAACCGAATTAGTTCGTAGTGGCCTTCCAGGAGGCCTTGTCCTCCGGCTCCTGACCTCCAGTGAGGAGGAAAGCAGAGCTAAGTAAATGAAGTTCACTAGCTGAATTCCACTAATCAGGCCTCACTCCCAACGGAGTTACCTGGCAGTGCCAAGTCACCTGAAAGCACCAGGTTAGCTGACTGACCCCCAGAGAGACCTTGGGAATCCCTAGCAGCTGCCAAATGAGTTCAGTTGGGGACTATGCCTCACTCTCTCTTGGCGCTAGTCACTGGCTATGCCCAGCTGGGGGAAGGAAACAGGTATCTGGTGAGTTGACAAGATCGTTACTAGGTAAGTCCCTGGTTTACAGGACCAAAAGCCCTCTGCCCCGCCATCTTGGTTCTTTTGAACCACTCATTTGGCACCGCTTGGTGTGTGGCAATGCTTTGTGTTGCAAAATCCCAGCCACCTGTACAAGGACCTGTTAAGATTATTTGCTATGTTCTCGTATATGGACTTTTGGTTCCAGTTGTTCATATATCTTATGGTTTTTCCATGTTAATTGTGTTTTTAGTGCCAATATAATTCTGCTTTGTAAAAAAAAAAACGGCATCTTTTGTGGTTCCATCCTTGGCTAGTAACCATAGGAGCAGCAGCATCTATCCTGAGAGGCAGTGGCCTCGACCACATTTTAGCCAAGAAGAAAATGTTTTTGATTACAGTATTGCTTGGCCTATGTATATACTTGATTTGGGGGAGAAAAATAGCCCCTGAGTGATTCTTTGAATTATTATACTCTATTACAGCTTGAACTCAGGTTCTGGAAAATGTACAAGTCTGTCTCTACACAGTCAGGATGCAGCAAAAAAAGAGACAAGTTAATGGTACAGAGGGTAGGGGGACCTAGAAAGCCTCCGCTACCAGACAGTAAAACCTGGGAAGGAGAAAAATAGAAAATGAGTATTTTAACTACCCTAAATCCTCCACCTGGATGCCTAGGAGCTGTTGCAGTCCTGGGAATGGCGGGGGTGGGGGCGGGGAGACTAATGCTACCCCATGCAGAAGCAGCTGGGCCAACTGCCCCACCTCAGCGTGAAATGAAAAAATGGTGCTTGTAAACTCGAGTGGCTTTCCACCCCCCACCCCCGCCTCTTCCCCAGCCTCCTTAAAAGTTGTCAAGGGTGCTGGGTAATTAAACAGCTCACTTTTGAGCCCACTAAAGGAATGCAATAATCACCAACAATCCAAACAGGTAATCGATGTCTTTTAAAATTATTAGCATGGAATATATATTTATTTTTGCCTGGTCTAGAAAAAAAATGCCCCTTAAAAATGTATGTATTTGCCAATAAGGGAAAAAAACTGTTTCTTAAAGTTATGAAACACATTCACAAAGTTGTCAAGTAAATGTTAGGAATGCACAAGAGGTTGGAGAGGGAGAGGGAACATGGACTCGGATGGGCCCTTGTGGTGTCACCACCTCCAGGAGGGCTGAAACAGGCTGAGGCCTGTTGGACCTGATCCTTCGAGGGGAGGGATCTGAGGTACAGTCAGGGGAGGGAGGGGGGCTGTAATCATAGGTCTGGGCCCTGGCCTGGCCCTGGGAGAGGGAGGAGGGGATGCATAAGGAAGAGGAATAGTCCTCGGACAGATCAAAAAATGTTTCTGCCCGGGCACTGGAAATGGACGGATGTTGTTTGGGAAGGGGAGAGCTAGGAGAAGGCTTTGGTAGGTAGAACAGGTCTGGCTTAGGGAGGGGCACCTGCGCTGCTCAGAGAGGGCCTGAACATATGGGACTTCACTTGTGGAGACAAAAAATTGTCACTCCAATTACCTGACAGAAATTGTCAGGGTGAGAAGTTGAGGGTCGAGCGTCCTGTTTTCTAGCCAGGTGGGTCCATTATCCAACATATATTTCAGCCAGGCAATGTTACAGTAGGAAATAAGTGTCTGGGGTTTTAAATTCATTTCTAGGCCTAGGTCTTTCAGCTTCTGAGCAGACACCCCAAGGGAGTGTTGCAGGGAGGCAGTGATTGGCTCCTGCCCATTACAAGGAATAAGGTCGAGGGGAGGAAGGAGCACACCCAGTCTCCCTGCCCTAGGACAAACAAGGAGGCGTCCCAACCTCGAGTGTCTTAGGGTCGTGACAGGGAAAAGGAGGAGAGGAGGGAGGCGTCCCACTGTCCTTCTCACTCCTGAGGGTCCAGGACCTCTCAGGCAGTGACTCTCACTCAGTGTGGGGGTTTTCTAGATGTTTTCCAGGACAAGAGCAGAACAGAGAAGGAGTGCTGAGATGAGGGAAGGGGATATACTCCTTACCCTAATTGATTTTGTCTGTGTTCATACAAAGGTCAGGCAAGTGGGCTTCCCCAATCATGGTCCTCCTGGTTTTCAGCACCAAAATGTTTGAAATACATGAGAGATTGAGACAGGTGGAGCCAGATAATTTGAACCAAGTGCCTTTATTTGAAGCTGCACTTACAGGCAGCTGAGTCTGGGCAGACTGCAGCAGCAGAGGGAGGCAAGAATGGGGGTTTTAAAAGAAAAAGCACAGGGTTGTGGGGGGCAGTAAGATAAGGTAGGGGTTAGTCTTTTGTTCTGGACTGTTGCCTCAGGATGTGTGAGTCAGGACTATGGGTTAGGTAAAGGTCCAGGCTGTTCCCAGGTGCAGGAAGGTCAGTCTGACCACCAACCATTGTGGCTGGCATCAGATGTCTATTGTTCGAGGTAGGAGAGAGTTTCAGTTAAGCTGCAAGCTGTGGGTGTTCAAGTGGGTTGGGATAGCTGAGTCATCAGCAGTCTGGCAGTTCAGAAAACTGGCTTGACCCTTTCACTAAAGAATGCTATTACTTACATTTAGTCATTACTAAAAGTTAAGTCTTCTAAGAGTTAAGAATTCTAATTAAGTTGGAAAAAATAAATATGGTTTTGGTAACATAAAATTGAAAATAAGTTGTTCTTATTTCTGAATGTGTTAAAAGGACACTGAAATGGCTGTGTAAGTTGCAGAGGGTTTCTGCAAGTTAAAGGACTGTGACAATGGAGGAAGTGAAAAAAGAAAGAATTGACAGGAATTGATGAAAATGGTGAGGAAAAAATAAAAGAAGCACACATATTAAAGGAGGAGAGGATATTGGAGGAAGAAACTCATTAACGGAAATGAAAATGCGAAACTAGAAATAAAGAAATGGAAAGGCACCTAGATAGATGGCAAAACAGAGTGGAGATTTTATTAAAAGGCTGGGAAGCTCCCTTTAGTTTTTCAAAACCAGTTGTGATTTTCCCACAAAAAACCCAGCTACAATCGACAGGGGGAACAAATTTATCGATTTCTTAGTACGAAATAGCTTTCATTTGTAATTCTGAGCATTATCTTAAAATGTTGTTATAAAAAAAGCAAATTCCTTTGTCAACTTCATTGTCATCAGATCTATATATAGCCATGTCATTTTAAATATTTTTTGTTCCTTAGAGACAGTCATTGTTTTACTCTGATGCATTTGCTAAAATGTTACACCTTTAGAGAGATCCATGGAAAGGGCTCTGACTTCTTCTAAAGTATGAATTTCTGAGAATTACAGATCACACATTTAAACTAGATAGACGTATAGGACTCTAAGAAATAACTGAATTCATAGAAATACTGGCAAATAACCAGGATAAACAGGACTTAATTAGGGGCTAGTGTGGCTCAGTTGGTCAGGTGCTGTTCCACACAGAGAAAGGTCGCAGGTTCAGTTCTCAGTCAGAGCACATGCCTGGGTTGCAGGTTCAGTCCCCAGCTGGGGCATGTATGAGAGCAGTCAATTGATGTTTTTATCTTTTTCTTTCTCTCTCCATTCCCCTCTCTCTAACATAAATAAGTAAATAAAATCCTTTAATGTTTGGAACTGCCCTGCCTGGTTTCAGAAGCTGTAACCCCCCCATGGCTGAGGTCGGGTAAGAGAATTTGGGACTCTAAGGAGACAAAGCTTATCACCCTGGCAGGGGCATCACCTCTGCCCCCTTTTACTTCACCCTGGCTGATGACTAGTTAGCCAATGATGGGTAAGATTCTTCAAGGGAGGGATGACCTAAGACAGACATGGTCACGAAGGGGCCCTCAGGGAAGGACTTGGGGAGCTATAGAAAAAGGGGATGACGATCTCTCACCCCTCACTTTGACATAGTCTGAGTCTTTATTCTGTCTGCAAAAAGTCCCCTAATCTTTTGGCTGCTTTACTTCCCCTGCCTGACTTAAGCCTGAAACACTGCCAGAAGTGGGTGTGGCCCTGTGCTAGAAAGGGTAGGTTCCCTGGGGCAATCAGGCCTAAGAAGGAATTCATAAAATCCCGTGAAACCTGCTTTGCTAATACCCTCAATTTAAATGATAAGGATCCAAGCCTAGAATGAGTGTGTTTCTTCAAAGTTTTATGGCCCTTTAGCTATCTGAACCTGACTCAGAATATGCCC